ATCGGCTGAATTGCACAAAACGCATGATCGCACCGGCTAGTCTGGTGCGCGTTGCCATTTATTTTACCATAATTCAGTTGAAATTCTAGGATTTTTGCTCTAAAATGAGGCAAGGCGTAATGGGGAATACCAGTGCTATCACGTAAAAGGTTAAGGATTCGACCCACCCGTGGAACAACCAACCCCTCTACGACTCGATCATTCATTTCGATGGAGTAACTTGGTACTGGCGCATGCCAAAGAGTCAAATCCGCCATCAGCTTGTTTGTAACTGGCCTTCGAAAGAGGGAGACATTGATGGCCTTGTCAGCAAGTGGTTGCTATTGGCACTTACTGTCCTCAAAATTCTTCCGAGTGTCTCTGCCTTTCACTGAGAGCGAATACGGAGGAGTTTTTTTAATTCTTGGCATTGAGAACTTAATTTATGTTTTTTACCTCCTTTTTGAGTTCATTTTTCTAAAAGCTGTCAATCCTCTTCCCTAGTCCAGCACTGACAAATTGTTCAAAAAAAGGCACATAAACAAAAATAGCTGCACGATGTGTGTGTGTTTTTTTCGAATCTTCAGTTATTTTGATACTGCTCATAGAGAAGGGATTATCCGGAGATGATTGTATTCAGGATGGATATTCGTCAAGCCTCTCGTAGATGATATTTGGTGGTGATTGCTGTTGTTGTTGTTGTTGTTCGAGAGTCTGAATGGGCGGTAGAAGTTGTTGATGATTTGTCGTCCATTGAGGGACCGGGACATTTACCTCCTCATTTGACCGGTAGTTTATCACTGCTGGAGATGGATGAATCGTTAACAGTGATCCGGGGGAGCAATTCGGGATTGGAATAGGCTTCTGATCGACCGGTGCTGTCCAGCAAATATTGCATGGCGAGCTGTAGTCTTCTGGTAGATGAAACATTGTTGGTGGATTGACTAGAAGCTGAAATAAATCAATTTTTTATGTACAATGAAGATTTTTTAACGAGCTAATTTGCCGTTATGTTAATATTTTTTGTTTTTTTTTTATAATCACTTTGCTCAAGCTCCTTTCTTGTTGTGATCAGATTGCAGCCAACTGACTTGGAAGAAGTTGACAGTTACATCTGTCTTGTCTAGGAAGTACCTCCTGCCGCTAATTTTGTCTTTGCTCTGGCTCTTTCCTTTTTGCCACTAGATTGTAATCGGGCAATATTGAGCTGGAAGGAGCTAAAGTTATGCTTGTCTTGGCCAGGAAGTAAATGTGCGCCGTAATCTCTTGGCGCACGACAAAGCGTTGACGGTTGGCGCAAATTTCACAGCATCATCGATGTCCTCAAATTGTCGGATCGGAAAGACTGTGCACAACCGTTTAGTAACAATGTGGCAGTGCTATTTTGAGTGGTTGATCTCAAGTTTAAACTGCGTATTTCGTGTTTATTCTTTCGATCTAGCATCTCGGGAGCAAATTTTTTTAACAATATGCTGATATCTAATGCCTAATTTGCCAACTACGATTTTTTCCTTCACTTTTCCGTCCCTCTTAGAACTTATTGATTTCGAGCATTCTACGTTTGATAGGAATAGAAATACATCAGTACCTGTTGTTGCGCTTGGCGTTGCATGTACTGTAGAAACCAAGGCTGTAGATTCAGAGCTCTTTCATCTGCACTTGAATTTCGTGTACCACGCCTCATCCGCCGTCTAAAAATTTTTTGATTGAGGAAAATTTCTATTTGCGAAAAACGTAGCCATCGACAGCCATGCCAGTGAGCAGTTGTTCCAAGCAGTGTTCTATCGTTTGAGCTATTTCCAAGTACCTTCACTTCTAATAGGGAGAAAATTATGAAGGGGTTTTGGTTTTTTGTCTTATCTTTTATCCTTTCCTCAGGACGCATCTCCTCGGCGTAGTAATAGCAATGCAGATAGCAATCAGTCTGTGGTACCAACTAAAAAAAAACTTGTGAGAAATCATATTTCAAGTGTTTTTTTTTAAAAAAAAGGTATTTTTTTCACTTTTGAGTCAGAATTACTTAATTTTCTGATAATCATCACGTATTATTTCTAGTTGGAGAAAAAGTCTATGAAGTGCAGCTAACCAAAACGTCGGGGTAATTTTTTTGGTATTTTTGGCAACACTTGTCTGGTAACAAGAAATATTACCTAGTACTAAAATATTTCCTAGTTCCAAGAATACTTTTAAGTATTCAAATAAATAAGGGGTGTCAAATTATGATTTAGAAAAAAAGTTGAAAAAATTACAAGTTTCTTATCTCGAAAAACATAAGACTTGTTTTTGGTAATACCAATTTATCGAAAAAGCCATATTAAGCAATCAAACATCACGAAACATAAAAAGATTGGCGAGACGAAAATACACGTGTAGGACATTGATTTCCCGGACCTGTTATCTGGAATTTCTATCTCAGTGCTGACTAATCATATCTGCCTTTTTTTCCGGCAGTAATCCATGTTTGGCTTGAAAAAATTATGATTTTTATTTAGAAATTTTTTGCATAAAAAAAGCGATGTGGGCTGACAAAATTTGGAATTTTTTAACGCTAGAAGCATAGAAACACAGCCATTAACTTACATAATCAGGTGCAATTCATAGTTGTTAATTGCAGTGTTAGAAAACCAGAGAAGAAAAGTGGAAGGAATTTAATGCATGTTTGGCTTAAATTCGCTTTCAACGTTGCATTTATTTTAAATTTTTCCGTGAGTCGCGAAATTTGTAAAGAATTTCATTTCTGAGCACTAACTTGAACATGAAATTCAGAGTGACCAGTGGAGTTTTTTTTCTCCTTTTATGATAAACAAAATTGGCTGGAATGGACATTTTATTCTGCAAAAAAAATTTCAAAAAAATTCATTTATTCTGTAAAAATTTAGAACATTTATTTTGTAAAAAATTTAATTTTGTAAAAATTTTTTTGCAGAAAAAAGCGATGTAAACTAAAAAAAATTGGGAATTTTTGACGTCAAGAAGACGGAAAAGCAGCTGTAAACTTCCAAAAAGTTGTTTAAACCAGGTGCAGGTTATAATTGTCATTTGCATTGTTATAAAACCAACTGATGGAAGATGCCAGAGAAAAAAAAAAATGAAAGCAATTTTTTCAAAAAATTGGGATCTTAACATTTCCGATAAAGGGTTTGTCGTGGAGAAATGGGAGGTGTGCTTGGATAGTGAGGATGAATTGTTGCAGAAATGGAGAAACAATGTTCCCCCTGGATGATTTTGATTGCCATCTAAACGGGAGCATTTTGCATGAATCAGTTGTCTGGACAAATGTTAATCGACTTCATAGCTGGCGCCCTATTTCTCCACGTCCACTAGCATCTCTTTTTTACGGCCTTTTTTCTGGATCCTTTTTTATAGAAATGTTGCAATTACAGGGCATAGAGCATTGAGAGTTTTTCCTTTTTTTTTTTTTTTGATTTTTTTGGATTTTTTTGCGAATTTTATAGGTTTTCGTTCATCTTTTACGGATTTTTTAAAGATTTTTGTGGACTCTTCCATCATTTTTTGGGTTTTTTGAACAACGGACAGTGCTCAGTGGAAATGTGCAGCTCAGTACTGAGGAGACTTAGCAGAGATACCGGTTGCCGAAAAATTTCGAGGCCAAAGAAGACAAATTTTCAGACCGATTGTCCAAATGATCTATGCAACGAATTATGCTGTAAAAAATTTGTGGCAAAATTGAGGAATTGATTTGATAAGAATCGATGAAAATTATGGCGAAATTTAGGGATTGATTGAAAATCGTGGGCAGTAGAAACGTTTTTTTTATAAAATTGAGTATTGGTTATCGAAGCTAGAAATATACTGGATTTAGTCACGACAAATGCTCAAAATCCCGGGTATCATTTTCTTCGCCCGGCCTCTCGATTTAGGTATAACATATTAGTGATGTTACTGGAATGCTTCTGCAAGCTGAATGCAGCTGTGCCAGACCCTTTGATTTTGGAGTGCATATCTCCAGTTAGTGCTCACTGTTCGATGTGTGTGTACAACTTTTTATGAGTCATCCGTGTTGTTTTTGCGAATACCGCTTGGCTTTCTCGTAGATGCCACTCATAAATGCACGACGTCCACCGGTTGTCAACAAGACGAGTAATATGTCTTGCCCATCGGATTTTACTTTCTCGCGTGGTCCTAATGAGATCTTGCGCTCCCATACCTGACTCAGGCACCTCTTCCTCGCATGGGAGTCAGATTGGGCCGTAATTGAGGTACAGCGAGTCGCAACACTGGCAATTTCAAATGCGTTGAAGACACCACTGTCTGGCTAAGCTTAAGTGGTACAAACCAATGTTAGTCTGACCAACAGTTGTTAATGCAGTAAAGGTCAAGCAGCTATTCAAGCAAAAATGCAAATTTGCTCTAAACAAAATTAATAAACAAAAAATAAGGGTTGAAATTAACTAAGGAATAAAGCTTAAAAACAAAAAATTGAGGTTAAGTAGA